TATATATACACAACAATACAATTTACAACAACAATTATTACAAATAATTACCACAAACAAAGTTTTATAAAACAACAATTTCTCTAACTTACTTTCTAGTTCAGAGTCTCCTTGATATCCAGCAAGCTTGAAGTTGATGTACATACAATTGCTGAGAAGCTAGCTAGCATACACGGTTATAACAGGTTCCTAGCAGACTTATAAGCTCTCTCCTTTGGCCTTGATCTTTATATGTGTGGGAAATGTTTTTCGGATAACAATACTGAACTATATTTAACTGGTTACGGAAGTGGATATATTGTCGATTCTTGCATTCACGAATATTCTACAACCTTGGAGAATTGACGGGAGTTTTGCAGTACATAACTAACACTGTAAGCTAGGCACGTTTTTACATATAAACTCAATCCCAACAAACGTTGCCATTAAAATAAATATATAACAAATTCGTTACACACAATACATATCTGACACGATAAGTTATGCATATTTTTAAATACAAATTTAATCTAAACGACGTTCATATTAAAAATAAATACATAACAATAAGATTTGTTACAAGGCTTCAATGTTCATGAGTTTTTCTCATTACAAGTTATTAACCCATTTTATTGAAATTATTATGGGATATGCAATACATGCTTCTTCCCAGTGGATGTAACATTCGTCATTTGTCCAAGTGTTGGGGAACCTTGACAATTTAAGTGACCCCAAACATGTTAGCCTAAAACTAATTCTATACATATTAACCTTATCCTAAAACAAGGTTCAAAAGACTGCTTTAGGAGTAGAGTACAAACATCAAATTCTAACTTTAAGCTAATCTTATCTTCCTCCTTGGCTTAAGAGTTAGCTAGCTAAATTATATTGAAACATAAAAGTGAGTCCAATAAAAAAATCATGATATAGAAAATATTTTTGGAATGTACATGGTTTTATAGATGATTGTGAATACAAATGTGTCTCCAGTGAATGCTAAATTTGAAATCTAACTAATTTTATCAAATTCAATTTAATTTGAAGTTCTGGACTTCACTATAGATTGTTGATGTCTTTCTTCCACTAAATATAAGGAGAAAAATTAGAGCCATCCAAAAATTCTGAGATAATCAACACCATTAATCTACAACCTGGTGCTAGTCATCAAAGACATGTGTTTGTGTCAACTACTGCTAAGCAGTAACATAATCAACATTAAATAAAAGCATTTTCATTTAAGATTGTATTTGCTTTTACATGAAAGTTGACATTGAATCACTAAACATTAAACTTTAAACAGTTAATATGGAGACATCTGTTAATTAGCTATATAAATTTAGTCTCCCCTTAACAAAGAGAACAGGTAATTACATGTAAAGTTAACTAGTGCAAGTGTAAACACACAAGCTCCTAGCTTTAAAAAAAAGCCTAAATATATATCAAGTTCAACAGACAAGAATATTGTTGATGCCCTACAACATTTTCATTAGCACCCTACTTTAAAACATCCACCACAATAAGATGTTACTACACTTCACAGGAATATTCTTACAATAGCTTTCTTTAATTAACCATTAAACTATAACAAAAAGTAATTCAATTAAGCATTTGTTAATATTAATACCACCAGAGGACCATATCTCTGAACCCTTACATCATAATATGAAATATAATGGTAAGAAAAAAAAACATTAAAAACTCTTCTTTTTTTTTTTACATAAGAAAGAACAAATTTGTGCACATTCTTTCTATGGGAATGGATTATAATTGAGATAGCTATTAAATACGAATGTAAGGTAAAACATATGTAAATGTGTTGTTTGATTGTTTGCAAAGTCTAAGAGAAAATGTATTAGATGTAGGATTTGGATTTTAACAAATTAGATATCAAAATTGTGTGGTAAACATTTTGTTATATAAATGTATTATTCACAGACTGATGGCAGTAAACACAGCTGTAAAAAATAGCTGGGTAGTACTTTTGTAATTGTATTTAGGTTCTTCATTAAAATAGGCAAATGTAGAGCTAGGGGTGCTGCTGTGTGATGTGACTGAAGCTATCAACAAGAAGTAAATTAAAATATAAAATTACATGTGATTAAGCTATATTTTCAGTGTTATACTTTAGTTATTTGTTAGAGACTAAACATCTAGAATGCTCAAAATAATCCCAGAATACCTAGAAAGTTCATGAAGATGTAATCATCTAGTAATTTTATGAAATTTGGAGAAACGAGATTACATTATACATACAAGTAATCAGTTTGTGAATATTTATTGAGGATTCAGTGAAGTATTTAATGAGTGATTCAGTTCAGTTTTTTTTTGTGATAGTTAATGTACCTATTAAATTAACTGATCAATTAAGAAAGAACTTCTGTTGTAAGTTGAGCAGACCAATTGTCTCAGAATTTCTGTTCAAACATTGTTTGTGAACTTAGGCCTACAACTTGGGTCAAAGTAAACATAGCCTGTAGCAAACATTATAGAAGAAATAAATTAATTTATTATTGTTACACAGACTGTACTTGGCATTATTTTTCATAAATAATTCAGGAGGACCTGCCCAACAATAGAACACATTTCAATGCTCCTGTTAGAAGTGGAATTAATTTGCTTAAAATAGAATAGAACTTTGACTAAACTTAATACTTCAAGATAATAACCCAAACAAGAAGTGAGACTCAAAATCTGTTGGAAATGATAAAACTGTGGAAAGAAGACCAAGAAGAAATTTACTGAAAATTAGAAGAAGAGGAGTTAAAAGAAAGAAACATAATATTTAAAGAAGAATTAAGAACAAAAAAAATAAATCTGATTGAAGATAAAGCTATTGGAGACATACAGAAGGAATTTGACATGTTTGAAAAAGTGCAGAAAGACACAATGAAGTACAGAAAGGCTGTAATGATTAAATTGAAGAAGTACAAGAATACACCAATAAAGTGCAGAGAGGCTGTAATGACAAAATCAAAAAAAGTGCAAAAAAGAAATCAATGACAGAATAAAGCATCTGAAAATAGAATTGGTAAATGCAATGATCAAGCCAGCCACACCTCTTTCTGTATCTAATCAAGAGTTCCAGTCTAAAACACCATTTACTATTAAGTATGGAATAAAAAAACCTATTTGGTCAACATCTGTTACCACTACTGCTGTGGTATCTGTGACTGCAGGATCTTCCTGGACTACTCCAGCTATGACAATACCAAATCAAGCTCCAAAATTTAGTTGGGCAGGTCAATGACATTGCTCAATCGAGAAACCAACAGACTGTGATGTAAAGATACTGTGAGAGGTAAATTAGGCTCAGTTTAAAATAATTTCCAAAATGAATGTGTAGAATAGTGAACAACAAGCCATTCAACTTGCTGCCCTTTTAAGAGGACCAGCTCTAACAACCTCAAGTAACCTTCCAGATGAGAGTCATAATAACTATGAAACATTGGTAGCTGCCTTATCCAACAGGTTTGGATTGACACACCAGAAGGAAGTATCCAGAAAAATGTTATGGAACAGGTTATTGAGGAAAGAGGAGACCTTAGTTGAACTTGCAGGAGGTTTCTCAAGTCTCTCCCAATTATCTTACCCTGATGCTCTGTATGAAATGATAGATTCATTGGTATGTAACTAGTTTATAGATGCCATAACAAACAAGGATATGAGAATTAGGGTGACGCAAAGTAGATGTATATCTTTAAGGGAAAATGAGTATATTATGGTCGCTGATAAACAACTAAAAGTACTATATAGAAGTTACAGGATCATCAGATTGGGTAGTGTTGAAACATCAACTTCTTCTGAGAATAGCCTGGAAGAATTAAAAGAATTAGTTACATAGAATGGAAGAAATAAACTACAAGACAATAGTTGTTTCAAATGTAACTTGAAAGGACATATTTTCAGGAACTGCAGACAAAAGCCTGTTGGTAATAAAAAGTATTCCAAAAGGATGCCAGAAAAGGGGAAACTATTAATAATTTTGGAAACATGGCCATTACAGATGGAACTGTGAGGAGTCAACAACTGTTAATAATCCAAGGAAACACTACTCTAAGGATGAATCCAACTGAATTTAAGGAACACCAAAGAGCTAACCAGACATTGAAAAAACAGGAATTAGATTGACTTATGGGGCAAAGCTCAACTGGGAACACTATCTGTCCAAAGTGAGATATAATATAATAATAATAATAATAATCCCTGTAGGCTCCCACTGGAGCATAGGGCCCCAACAACACCTCGCCGACGGAAGTTGTTGTTGCAGTAATTTTTTAGCAGGTTGGTTTTTACGGGGCGGAGTTGCTAGCGCCACGCCCAACCCTCCTCCTTTCTCATCCTGGACTTGGGACCAGGCAAAGGTGGTGGCATCCCTGCCGGGGAACGAACCCGGTACCTTTGGATTAGAAATCCAACGATCTATCCACTGTGCTATAGGGACACCCAAAGTGACATAAGAAGCTCCTTATTTAAAGAAACCAATCCATGTATCTATGGGTTTATCAATAGAAAACCTTGTAGTATGTTGATCAACACTGGTTCTACAGCTACAATAATTTAACGTGATTTGGTAATGAAAGGTGGGAAGGTGTCTCCAGAGATGAAGAAAGAAGAGGGATTGATGCAAACAGCTGGTGGACATAAAGTTCCAGCAAGAGAAAAGTTGGAAGTTACATGGATGCAAGGTTAAACTAGCTTCGAGTAACATCATAGTCTATGACCAGGAAATCCCTGTGCATACATGGTACTTACTACATCATAAGTTGAATTTTTAGTGACAACCACAATTGATAAGGGAAAAGAGGTTATCCCGTCTACATGCTATGGGCCTCAGAAGAGAAACTCACCAAAAAAAAGATTTGGGGAATGGACAACTTAGGTACTGTTTTATTTGTTTATTGGGATTGTTCAAAGGACTTCACAATCCAGGAAGAGAGCAGTATTATAAGCTATAGTTTCATTGTTGTAATTGGGTTGTTTGCTAGAGGAAATTGCTAATCATGATGATGATGTTAGATCTAGAAAGTTCATAAAAGTACTCCTAGAATACCTATAATAGAACTTGGAGAAACAAGAGTACATTATAAGTACAAGTAATTAGTTTGTGAAGATTTGTTGGGTATTCAGTGAAGTATTTATTCAATACAGTGTTTGTAGTGTAGGTTATCGTGTCTTTTTCAAATGAACATAGCCTGTAACAAAATTTAAGGTAGAAATAAATTAATTTCTTGTCATCATTATATCAACTGTACTTGACATTGTTTTAGCAAATAATCCAAAAGAACCTGCCTAGTAATAGAACACATTACAACAGTAATGTTTCATGCTATCAGTGTCTTTTTACAGAATAATAAACTTAACTTTAAAAGTTACCAGTAGTTTTTAAGTTTATTTATTTAGAAATAGTTCCTTTGGAGTTTAATTTTAAATACTGTGAAAAATCTGTTTCAACACCTGGAATAATCTTTGTTCTACAAATGGTTTTTAATATGTTTAAAATTAAAACATTAATCAATAATTTATTTTACAACCTATTCAGAAACATTCTACTGAAAATAAGAAATTTGCTTTTCTAAAGTTTAACTTATTTACGTTTCAACAAACGTTCATATGACGAGATTAAAAGATCATAACAGGCTTCTGTCAGGTGTTTATGAATCATTGACATGACTTAATATTTAACACTTAAGATGTCAGTTATTTTTAGTATTTATGAAAATACTCAATGGAAATTAAAATTAATAACTCTTTCTGTGTTTTAGAGTGAAGACATTACAGTTGAAAGTTTCCGACCTCAGCGAGCCTGTAATGATGAAGACATGGTTGATTCAAAAGAACCAGTCACAGTTGATCATTGCAGTAAAACAAGTAATTTATTTCTAGACAGAAAAAAGCAACATATTTATTTAGCCTTTTTTTTTTTACTGTTTTGTGTTCTTATGAAAAAAGAAAATAGGTTTCTAAATATAAAGATATCTTTGTCATGATAAAAAAAGACTGTTTTGGTTTGAATATTAGTGATTAATTTATATTTGTGAGTGAATATTTTATTATTTTTAAGTTTTCTTATAATGAGAGTTAAAAGCAGACGATTGTAGAAGGTTTTGTTAATAACTAATTGGTGTCGAGAATATATAAAGTGGTCCAGATGACTATGTTATAAAGATATAAATAGTGTGAGATGAACAGGAAGCAGCAGACAGACAGTATTAGACAGATAAAAGCAAAGAGAATATAGTTGGTGTGAAGTTAAGTAACGTAAAAGTGATAGACCTAATGACTGACTTAGGCCTAACATTTGATATATATATATATTAGAGTGAAACTAACAGTGGAATAAGAAATAAGAAAAAAATAAGTTTATTCCGTCAAAGCGAAATTCTACAGTAATTGAATCGGCCTGAGTGCACTTTGACAAAAGGAACATAGGATCTTCAGAAGAAAGAAGATCAAAAACGTAAGTGAATCACACCAGACTAATATTGCGATAGTATTAGAGAAAATAGTGCAGCTTGTCAACTGAGATTC